TTGCATCAGTAACATGTTTGAATAGGAAACCTCAGGGAAGAAACCCAGGCACTGAAAGAATTGGTAGTGATTTAGCTAGTGGGTTTCTTTCCCCTGAGCCTACATAAGGATACTAGATACGGAGGGCAGCCAAAGACAGTTAAGCTTTATTTAGCACATGGCAATGAACTCACAAAAGACCGGGCATGGCGGGGTATTCTGCCTGGCACCAACCTCCAGTAACTCCTATGCGATATCTGACAGCTTATGTGGAGGTCCCAGATGCCCTAAGACACCTCAGATGGCATCAGGCACTGTTGCTTTAGCAGGAATAGCAGTCATCCCCCCTATCTTGTGGCTCAGATGACAAGGAGTGGCTTGCAGGTCTCAGAAAATTTATCAAGCTTAATTTTGGGAGCACACCAGAACGACTTTTTAATTTTGTATGTTTCACAGATTTCTATCGTCTGAATTCACCAGTCGTCTTCTAATACCAAGGGCGTGTCTCCATCCACTACATGATAATATCTGAAACCAGATCCAGACTTCCCAGAAATGCTGTAGGCACCAAAAATGCAGATTCCCAACGGACTTAGGAAAGCTTTGTGTTCTAGCGATTCTGCAACCAATAGCAGTGCTAAATCCTATGAATGCAATTACACCAACCTCTCTGTTTGGCCCGTTTCAATACATCCTGTTAGTACCTCTGAGCACAAAGAAGTGGAGTCACAGGACACTTTCGGTCTGTAGGAGATGAGAGATGGTGTGTGGGTGTGGGCTGGTGAAGCCTGTGAGTAGAGGAAGGGGAGGACAGAGGACAATGGGGTGGAGAGAGAAGGAAATAGGGGCACACAGCACCTTGCCAAGGGGATGGAGAGTCAGAGGATGTAGGGAAGGAAAATGAGGAGGCAAACAAAACCCCAAGAGATTTAAAGGTGATGCGAGAGCAGTGTTTTAAACCAGTACTAGCAGTGGTGTAGTGCTGGAGCAGCTGTGGAGGGATGGAGGATCCAGAGGGAAGCTGGGCTGTGCAAAACTGGTCTGTCAGAGGCTGTGAGGCAAGTTATGTGTAGGTGTGCTGGCCTTTTATAAGTTTCATATTTTTATATCACACCAACTCAAACAAATTGACAGACTAATTCCCAAAAAAAAAAAAAAAAAAAAAAAAGGCAAATTGAATCTCACCGAAAAATGTAATAAGTCAGAAATCTAGTCAAGTAGTAAATCTAATTTCTAGGGAACTGCCACTCCCTAGTTTCCTGGCCTCTTCCCATCCCTCGGTTCTTTTATCACCCACACGGCAGAGATGTTTTAGGGGCAAACCATGCAGTTTCCTCAGGCACAAAGATGGAATGAAGCTCTAGGAATGATTCACTCCAGAGGTCATTCTGTGTAGACAATAGGATCCAAACCCCACCAGGTTGGCTTCCTCTGCACACTCTTCCCACGCTATCCCAAGAGGTCCAGTGCCATGAAACACCCCCTCACACCTCTGTGCCACTACCTACGGCCTCTGCAGCTTTAGGGGATGCTTATTCTCCCCTGATGGGAGTTTGAATACAGCAGTTAGCTTGAACTTGTGGTGCTGCTAAATGTCAAAGCACTGGGAGCTCCTCTGGGCCACAACAACTCCCAGCAGGGCTACAGGCTTGGGGAGGAGCGGCTGGAGAGCTGCCAGTCAGAGAGGGACCTGGGGGGATTGATTGACAGCCAGCTGAACAGGAGCCAGCAGTGTGCCCAGGGGGCCAAGAAGGCATCAGCCAGAGTGTGGCTGCAGGACTAGGGCAGTGATTGTCCCTCTGTACTGGGCACTGGTGAGGCTGCACCTCGAATACTGGGTTCAGTTTTGGGCCCCTCATTACAAAAAGGACACAGAGTTACTCGAACATGTCCAGAGAAGGGCAACAAAGCTGTTGCAGGGTCTGGAGCACAGGTCATACGAGGAGTGGCTGAGGGAACTGGGGTTGTCCAGTCTGGAGAAGAGGAGGCTGAGGGGAGATCTCATCGCCCTCTACAGCTCCCTGAAAGGAGGGTGCAGAGAGCTGGGTTTGAGCCTCTTCAGCCTAGTAGAAAGCGACAGGACAAGAGGGAATGGCCTCAAGTTGCACCAGGGAAAGTTCAGACTAGATATCAAGAAGCATTTCTTTCCAGAAGGGGTTGTTGGGCGTTGGAATGGGCTGCCCAGGGAGGTGGTGGAGTCCCCATTCCTGGAGGGATTCAAGAGTCGGGTTGATTTAGAGCTTAAGGATCTGCTGTAGGTGGGAACTGTGCTGGGCGAACGGTTGGACTAGATGATCTCCAGGGTCCTTTCCAACCTAGATGATTCTGTGTGATTCTGTGTGAAACTACAGGTAGACTTTACTGAGTGTGTAGTCATGATCACGAGTTATTATCACATCTAGTGCCACAATGTCTGGAGCCCTGGCTGAGAGCTAGGACTCATTTGTATAAGTGTGGTACAAACACAAAATGTTTAGGATCTGAATTTCAGGCGAGCAAGTACAGAAGTAACAGTGATCAGAGTGTTGGGTGCCTACCTGTTCTTGAAAGGTGGGTAAAAGGCTACTTAAAACAAAGCACATCTGAAGATATGTAAGATACTTAAAGACAGCATATCTGAAGATACAGAAGATACTTAAAGACAGTAAAGAGGAATAATGGCAACCTGAGATGTCCATATTCATGCGAGACTCCTCCCAGTGTGAGGGCTGGTACAGCAATAAACCCAACATGACTGATATCAAACACGGTGAGGAGATATAACATGGGAAAAGAAGCCCACGTTTTGAAAGGATATGATGGCTGATAAGGAGAAAGTTCTTGAAAATGGGAGCAAAATATTTGATGTGACACTGAAGCAGTTAGATGGCAACAGAAGGAAGGACACAGAAAGCCACAATGAGACCTAGGAAATTCATCTTCGCAAGTGCTCTCCGGATCAGAGACAGGAATGTGGTTGTAAAGGCCAAAGAAGTCGATACTGCAGTGTTTTATATGTGAGAAGACAAGAAGTGGCGTGATGTGGACGAAATTAAAAGGCTGGATCCTAGGAGTGTTGGACGAGATCCAGCTGCAACGCGGATGCGTTGGTCCAAGAGCACCAGCCCCACGGGTATTGCTCGCCGTCACCTGTGCGCAGCGTTTCTGCACAATCCTTGTCCGGCGCACGCAAATTCAGAAGAACCTTAACTTCGTTTGATCATCAATTAAAACAACAGTTGCCCTTTGTGATGAGTAGGCTAAATGCTGTGGGTTTTCTTAAGAAGAGACTAAAGAATTGTAGGTTTGAGGGCCTCGTGCTGAGATTCTGATCTGCAGTCTGCTTCAAAGAGGCTTTTGAAGTCTTGAGGGAAACATGCTTTTAGCTTTCAGGGAAAGTGAGAGTACATGATCTCAACTTGCTACTAATCTGATAACTCTTTAATTTTAATCACCCTGACAGTCTGTGGTAAACCATGTGGTTAACTATTTCGGGTACAGTCTCTTCTCTCGAAGCCACAGTCTGATGTAGTTTACAGGCAAATCCTTTGATAACACAAAGATACAAGGGGATTAAAATATCCCTTACACAGCTTAGCTGTTAAGTCGCTCACAGGACTTTTCATTGTTGCCTTCCTCAAACTTTGTGACTTATACTAAGCAGCAAGATAATGAAAAGTAAAAAGGGGCAGAAAATATCAAAGCGAGAAGATGATGGGTGGCTCTGAAAGAAAAGGGCATGGCAGGACTGGGTCTGGGAGTCACTGATTGGGTTGCTGTTGGCAAGGCATGGCTTTATTTCAAGGAGAAGGCACTTTGGGAGTCAAGGGCAGATGCCAAATGATGAACAACTATCAGGGATTCAAGGCCCTTTTGCAGTTATTCTTGCTGGCTGCTAAGGCTGCATTAATTATGGCTGAAAAAAAAAAATAATGTGAAGACATGATGACTAAGAAATTTTACTCCTAATAGCTGTTACTATTATGCATAAGCGTAAAGGGCCACAGATCACGCACCCAAAGATCCTGAATGTCAGCCCTGATGCAACCAGCCTGTTTTATATTTGAATTTCTTAGCCTTTAGGCCTTAAATAATCATTAAGTAGTGCCTTTATCAACTTCTGGGTCTCCAGCTCAGCTTCAGTGGGCTTTTCAAGTGCACTGAAATGATCTAACTTAATTCATTCCAACTGATTGAGAAGTATATTTAGATGTGATTCGCTGATGACACAGCACTTCACGTCCTTGTTTTGGGACAAGTTATATTTAGGTTTGCAAACTTATTTCACAGTAAGCTGCTCTTTGGCGTGCTCAGACAGAACGGAGAGTCTACGCCCCTTTCTAATGTTTGCTTATAGATGATTGCAACCTTTAATGGCTTAGTTTTGCTTATTATGCCTCACTCCATAGATTCACTCTGGTGCAGGCAGCAACTCTACAGTATGACTGTTTACATCTTCGGTAAGAAAATGTTGGTAGGATTTCATGTTGCCCATCTTCTGGGTGCGGAAAGAAAGGGCTCAACAGCCTGCTTCAGGCAGGGGGGGCAGGAACATCCTTGCTCCAGCATCCTTTCTCCTCTAGAAGAAACACAAGGGAGTTGAATCGGCTCCTCCTAACTAAAAGTGTGTAGTCAAATACAGGCTTCATGTCACCTGGTGGAGATACTCCCAAGGGATTTTTCTGCATCCTGAACAAATCTATCTTTATAAAATCGATGGCAACAAATAACTCCAGTGTGAAGATAGCTTTGGATGGCAGGATTGTTCTAAAATTAAAACAAAAAACGTTCACGTAAAATAACTAATAGCTTCATCAAACACTCAGAGACTCTCCTTGGCTTTTCTACCCTCATGTTCCCTTCATGACATCCAGTTTAATCCCTCAGCTGTGATTTTAGCCCTGTGGCAGGGAGTGAAATGAGGCTTACTTCACCGAGCTCTGGGCATGATCTGGTATTGATAAGACAGAAAGATGTGGGAAGTCCTTGGTGAATAAGGTAGATGCACAGGCTATCCTGATTCTCAGGCTTTCTCTTTGCAGAAAAATGCCCAACTCCTCCAAGGACCGAATTTGCTGATGTTACTGCTGAAATGTATGCACTGGGGACCAGACTCTATTATGAATGTGACAGTGGCTACAAGAGAAGAAGTGGTCAGTACTCGGGAATTCGGTGTCAGAGTGAAAAGGAGGGTGCTTCTTGGCTCTACAAGGAATTTGAATGCATTGGTAAGTGATTATTGTCCTTTTTCTACATTTGAGGTGTTTTCCGATGAGTTAGACACATTTGGGAGTTGCTCTAACAAACTATCTTTTTCACTTTGCAATCTAGAACTTGCAACAACTCTATCCTGCCTCTAAAAGTCTGAGCGCTCTGGCTTTGTTCTGCTATTCATCCTGCTGTAATTCAGTGCATGTAACTTCTCCCATAGATGAGAAAATTTTGTTGTCAACGGCTCCCATGACAGAGGTAGATTTTACACAGAAGCCAGAAACAAAACCACAGAGCCCTGCACCTCAGAAAAGAGAAAACTTTTCAGAATTTCGCCAGAAAGGTAAGTAAGAGCCCATTCATTACTGTAACGCTTCTCCCACTGATTTCCATGGAAGCAGTGTAAGAATGATGAGTGATTTTTAATTGTTTTGACAGTCAGGGAGAAAGAAACAATCACTCTCATATCTTGGCTGAACAAGTGAGTTAGTGTTTTATATCCCAACAAAGAATTAGACAGGCTTGGTATATCCTGCTTGTCTATATTTTGTAAGAATAAAAATCATGTTGTTTCGAGAACAAAGGTAGTAGGTAAAAATCTATCTGCTTTAACCATGTGCTGTCCTGTGATCCCACAGATTTTTGTGGTCCACCCAAGACAATTCCACATGCCTCTTTAAGCCTGAACAAACAGTATTACGTGGGACAAGTATTACATTTCAAATGTCAAAGTGGTTACAATAAGCAACCCCCCACCTCTGGCACCCGCAGGTGCAAGAAGCTGAATGGCAAAATTATCTGGACCCACCTTGACATGCGATGCACCAATGACAGTGATGAGTGGCCACCACAGACTGTTGAGCCAGGTAAGATGGTTGCTTTGGCATGTTCATGCAGAGTCCAGAGCCCCCAACTCAGCACATCAATCCTAGGGAACAACCTGCTTGGGGTTCGAGATGGAGAGATCAGGGACCTCAGGGCTCCGACGCTGATAAAGATGTCATCTCTGGCTGGTGGAGATGACATGTCAGGAGGTGACTTTGCCTTGGGTGTCCTTTCATACTAATTGCAAAATTGCAGGAATCTGTGAGCAGATAGAGCCACTCTGTCATATACTGGGAAGAAAATAGTAGAATGAGGTTTTCTCTTTTTCCTTCCTCCTGGCAGCTATAGGTCATCTACAGCCACTTCACAGTAAGGTACTCCAGAAGGAATATCTAAGCATTCCTCATTCAGAGTTTTAGGATCCAGAGCTTAGCTAGTCCATAGCTAAACCTGAGTGACGTGGCTCAGTTCTTAATTTAACACCCAGTACGTTGTTTTCAACAAAGAGACAGCAAAAAGCCCACCAATATTGCACTGCAGCCCTTATGGACCCAGATTCAGCAATGCTCAACATGCACCACTGCTCAGGGAACCAACAGGGCTCTCCAGCGAGGTTACAGAACCTCTGCTTTCATGCCCTTAGGTGGGTTAATGCCAAAAGAAAAAAGACCTTCATGACCTCTACCCCGTGAAAATTACTTGCCTTTTCTGATGGCGTCTCTCCTAACTCTACAAGGCATGAGTTCAGTATGCAGAGAGAAAACAGAGCCCCTTTCCCAAGGATCTGTGATATCGTTGAGGGTCTTGTGCCCTCTGTGGGTGGCAGGCAGAGCTAGTGGAGGTGGAAGGATGTCCACCATCCATCCCTACAGTCCTCAGGCTTTCAATATCTTCCCAGCCTCTTCTGAGGTAGAGCTGAATTTTAGAGGTGGGACCCAATGCAAGGTTAACATGAGAGGACCTTTCCTACCAACAGGGACTGGAAAAATCTTTTTCACCAGTACTTGGGCCTTTAAGGGGAAATTAATCTTGCAGAACTGTACACATCTACTGCATAGACACCCACATCTGAGCTGGACTGCCTTTATAAGCAGTAGAGGGAAATGGGTGTCGATGCTGCTGTGTTGGCCGCCCTATTTCATGTCTATCATCATGTAGATGAATTGCACCCTATAAAGGTGTGTTTCAGTGACTAGAGCAGAGCCCAGATGACAATCTCAGAGGCCACATCTACACAACAGCAGGTGAGACTGCCTGCAGAGCAATCTTCCAGGTGACACTTGGCCATTGTTGCCTCGCGTTGCTACTCCGAGTGTAAGAATGAATCACCTTACTCACTGGACACGCTATTTCATCATTAACTCAGGACTTTCTCTCCTTCTTCATAGATCCATCTGCTTCCCCGTGGTGCCCGGCTCAGAGTGCTCCAGGTACAGCAGTCACAATTTGTTGTTTGGTCTTTCCTCCTCCTTCATGACAGACATTTTTTTTTTTTTCCCATTGATAAATTCACTTTGTGATAATTTTCAGGATGAAAGAACTTCTTGCTATGACGGAAATAACCCGTCAACATACCAGTCCTAGAAATTGATACAACCTATTGAATAGTCAGAAATTGCAAATATTTGAAAATTTTAAAATTAGGAGTATGAAAAACATGAGACTGGATGATGAAAGAGGCCATCTTGGCCTTTAATTCAACAGAACAACTCCAGTTTCCTGCAAAAGTACACTCAAACCTGAGCCAAGTCAGGTTTTTGTAATTAGTGCACCAAATATTTATTCCCTCAAAGCGTTGCATTCCTCTTTGTTATGATGTGATGTCCTTAATGGGGCCAGAGAAGGAATATGCTCCCCTTTCTCAGTTCTTTCCCCAGCATTCAATCAATCAGGAGATCACTGCTACAGGACCTCTTGTTAAAAGCCTGGCCACATCTCATATTGGCTCAAGTTCAGAACTTCCTCTTCAGGATAAGGGAGAAATTAAATTAATTTCTAGCACTGGGCGAGTTTTGGGCTACATTTCCAGGGAAGAAAAAAAAAAAGAAAGAAAGAGGTCCTGTTTAAAGCCATTTTTCCTATGAAATAAAGATCTTAGCTGGATCCCATTCCCTGGAAAATATAGTTCACATAATTGACAGATATCAGATCAGCAAATATGTTAATAGCCAGGCTGGAAACATCTATTGATGGCCAAGAAACAAAATGGCAATTATTAAGTGTTCTGTGCAGAGGGAGAGCTGTCAGACTCTACCCTCGTCACTGCTTCGACGCTGGAATGAGCTGGCTCTTCTGACTCTATCCTCATCACTGCTTTGATGCTCTCTGCCAGAAGAGCAAATAGATACAAAACTCAAGCACTCCTCTCTCTTCATAGATACGACTCATCCATCTTTTTCTTCATCTGTGATACTGCCAGTGACAGGTATGCCATTTTGTTAACTGGATTCAGACTTCACCACCCCACCCCCCCCGAGCAGTTATTTTGCCTTTCAGTTTGCTGTTCTACAGAAGAGATCCGTCTCTGTTATAAGAACTGATAAATATAATGCAAGACACATCTATGTCCATATATTGGGTGAGAAGTCAATAAAGAAAGTGCAGAGACTGTTTAAACACTTAATCTTTTCATAAAGAAGTTTTTAAGAACTCATAAGGGATATAAAAAAAATAGATCAACTAAAAGTCTAGTTTTTAAATTAAGCAATTTTTAGATTTTTTTTTTTTTTCTCTAAGACTTTCCGGGGATTTAGTGAATAACTTCAATTGGAAAAAAAAAACCCACAGGAAAAAAATGTAAATATTTAAATGATGTGTTTCTTTCACATTTTCAAAGGAGTAAAAAAAGATGGGCAAATAAAATACTTCCTCACAACTAAACTGATACATTTAGATCAGTCTGAAGATATTTTTTTCTCCCCCTTCCCCATCATCCATTCAACCATTAGCTGCTAAAATAGAAATTGTCTCTTACTGTGCATATGCTCAAGACTTTGTACAAGGGGTTTTGATTCCAGCTGGAGTCTGCTGACAACTGTAGCACACATTATATTAAAGAGGAGTAATGGAGTGAGATAAAGCAAGGGAGGGAGGAGTATTGCAAATTATGCCAGAGACCGCAGCATCAGCAGTCCCTGGTTATTTCGCTGTGGTCAGTCTCCAGTTGCCCAGGTACCCTCTGGCTGGGTCCTGTTTGCCCCAGGTAGCAAAACAATGGGCAGCATGGAAGAACTCTTCCCTCTGGGCATGGGGGCAAGATGAGACCCCCATCTCAGGTCTTGCCTGTTTCTCCCAGTTGGAGTGACCGCAATAATTAGGATAACACCAGGTGCTAACCATATTGATTTTCTGTTTCAACAGCTATCTTTTTCGTTCTGCCTATCATTCCTGCTGTCTTTGTGTGACTCACCAAACAGAGAATACGATAAGTGGGACGGAACCAGGAAAATGTGAAAGCTAAAAAAAAAAAAAAAATAATCCCTAGCACTGGAAGAGATCAGGCATCTCACTGTTGCACTGCTTAGATTTCTGAACGCCTTCTCTGGTATTAAATAAGTGACCCTGGATTTTGGGTTGTCTTGTTCAGCTATTAAATGCTGGCACAAGAAAAAGAGGAGTCAGAGCTCTGAAATCAAAAAGGAAGCTTCGTCCGAGCCGTTGTGGAATTGAGAATGGCAGCTCAGATAATGTGTGGAAAATGAATCCTGTGGGGAAATTAAGGTTAATTATGGAAATACGTTGGTTTCAGATAGATTACGCAATCAGTCTTTTCTCGCTGGCTAACCTGTGGGAAGTCTGGTGGAGCATCTGCCACCACGACCACGTAATTCTTCTTCCTTCATCCCCCTGATTTCTCAGTCGTGTCATGACAACTTTGTACTTCAGACTTATTTTAGTCTGGCTTCCTCGCTGTTTCTATTACTACACTGAGATGCACCAAGGCTGTTCCTGTTCACAGGCTCCCCAGCCTGGTTCATCCAAGATGTCCCTATTTGACATTTGGGAGTTCTCCTTCTCTCCTCTCTCTTTGCTCATCTTCATCCCCATTTCTCTTCATGTTACTAATTACTGATGGGCTCTGCCTTTCAGCTGAATGGGGATTTTTCTCAAAAAGGAGGAGAGGAGGACCTTGTGAAACCACATCAGCAGTGTTTTGGTTGGTTTTTTTTTTTCCAGTTCAAAATAGGATAAAGCCATAGGGAGTGTAGGTAATGCTTTGAAACATGTTTCAGTGAAGATGGTCAATCATGGTGCAGATTGCCTGGGCCACTGTGGGATTTCTGTGAATATGAGAGGTGGAAAATTGTCAGGAATGACCTACAATTCACTGACCCTGTGGTGGAACAAGTGATGAAATAGCTGTCACCAGATGAAATAGTAACTGAAATACTAAGTGGTGTCTTCTGGAAAAAGTACTGTGTGGGTTCTCATAGTAAATATAAATGAAGCCATAGAAAACCTGCCTCTTACCAGCTGTAGTAAGTCTTTTTCCTGCTGTAGAGAAGACTTCTCAGGGAACTGTGGCATTCAGATCCAAACTCGTGAAATCGATGGCTTGCTGAAGAAGAAACCAGACTGTACCAGTGACTCCAAGACCAGCGCTGGCAGACGAGGAGGAAGCCTGGACACTCAAATCCAGTGTGTGAAGGAGGCAGAAAATATTACGACTGAATTCTTACAGGGACAGAATGAGTTTCTACCTACAGAGTACAGGTGGAGGGAGTGCACGCCATCCCTGACAGACGGGGAAAGAGCCCTGCCTGAAACCGCTTCCCAGAAACACTTCTCCTCCTCCTCCCATATAGCAGATGTGTTGCTAATATAACTGCAGCCTCTCCCAAGCGACAAGGCGTTGCATATGGACCAAGCACGTTAGATGATGGCACCGTCATTACAGCCCACACACCACCTTCCCCACAAAGAGAGATGCTGCACACCTGACGTCCCCCATCCCTTCCCTACCCAGACAGGTCAAACGCAGTCATGCTTTCTCTTCCTCACACTGCTTGTCTTCAAAAAGGAAATTAAAACCATTCACCCTCTGCACGTAAGGTGAATATTTTACCGGACTCCCTCATGATTCAGTAGACACGTGCATTCGTCATCACCCGCCTCTTCCCAATTATTTTGGACTAGCCCCTTCCACAACAGTTACTACGTTATTCCTCCAACTCAGAAAAGGATGCTGCAGACTGTGGCAGTTCATTAATTTGACAGCTCCTTTCGTAGCTGCAGAGCACCAAAGAACCCAGTGCAAAGGCATTTGAGGACAGACTCACGCATACACGATACTCGACATGTACGTATATTACTGGAAATTAAGTGACATTTGAGTAGTCTTCTGCCTCTCTTTAGCCACATTCGGCCTAGTCGGATGGGGTTCATCTACAAAATGCAAACTTCTATGTCTGAGGCAGACGATGGGAAGGAACAAGTCCCTTTAGAAAGCAGCTCATCTCACTGTATTGCCTACATATATATATATATATATATGCATGTGCGTATTTATTTATGCCACATATATATGTACATATATATACAGACCAAATGACTCATGGTCTAAAGACACCTGTTCCTCCGCGTGGTCTATAAACAATGCCCAGATTGACTAGATTAGCTGTAGATGCCTACATGGCGTACGTCAAAAGCAAAATGGGATGAATCCTGTCTTTGTAATTCAGGGGAATTTAGAGAATTAGAACATGAGATCTGAGTGTAGGTGTTGTGTTTTTTTTTTTTTTTATTTAGTGATAAAAGTGTATCTGTCATTGGTTTGTATTCCTGTTGAGTTATTCTCACTCCGTAGCCTTGATATTTATACTTCCCATGGCTTTTTTTTATTCCTGTTGGAATAGAACTTATTTGTACTACGTATCTTTATAAAGATGGATATGTAACGGTCTATTACATGCTGTTATTTTGTATGGGAGCAAACAACAATCTGTATTTATGCAGTAGATGAGAGGTTTTCACACCTGTCTGCTGCTCTGAAGGCTGAAAGCAGTGGTACTAAGCTCTTCTGCCTCATCCGTTTGATGCATGTTACTTATTGTTAACGTACCTCCGTTAAGCACTGCAGTTAGGCCGGCATGGCTTGTCCTGCTCAGGGCATTTCACTGGAGATGGTTAATAATTAATCTACTCCTAGTATGCACATTTTAATGCAAATAACAAGAGCAGAGTCATATGTTTCCTGCTGCTCCAGTGGTTTTTACTCGTTTCCCTAACCAGCTTGGCTCAGGGGGTCTCTCTCCATATTTTGTGTTTCTCGGAAATTAAGGGAGACACACTGCTGGTGAGGGACCTGTAAGCAATACTGGGCAACTATCATGGGGTTTAATTTTCCTATCTATTAATTTCTACATAGAGAGTCTGAGCCGAGGTCACATCCAACACAGGAGCTGTATACGTACTTTAGCAGGACCTCTAACTCTCAGTGGAGCTGTACTTTACCTCTCAGTAGGGCTTGTTGGGCCTCAGGGGACGTGTTTGTGTCTGAGGCTTGAGTCTTCAATACAACAAGAGGAGAGAAGTAGAAATCAGTAGGACCCAGCCTGGGAGCAAAACGCCACCACTGGAAGAGGCTGTGGCCAATGAGACACCGTCACTGTTGTGCTTTCTCCATGGCCAATCTCTCTTGTTTTACATGAGATGAGGTGGCTGATATTTTTGTTAGGTAGACTTTTGATTTTCTCTGCACGGAACAACTAATAAACTATAATAATAATAATAATAATAAATTGTTGTGGATGTTTGAATAGCAGCTTCTTCTTTATATTGATCTGAACTTTGAAAAATACATGATTTATTTTCTGTTACCCTCTCATTTTAACAAAAAGTATCACAAACTCAGGAACGTGTCGCAGGAAGGTAGATTCTAAAGACCCATGCTAAAGCTCCCATCATATGTGTACTATTACAGCTAACCTTTAATATGGAGGAAGAAACTAAAAATATTTGAGCAAAAGAATCTCTGGCAATGATATTTCCAAAGCATGGAAGTAATTAATAGATTTTTGCAATCTAAAGGAATCCTTTAGCCCTAACCTTCCCCAGGAGGTGGAAACACACCTATTCCTATACCATGGCCCAGAACCCAAGTGTAAGAAAATGTTTTTCTAGAAGTCTGCAGTGCAAGAATCAACTTGCATATTGCAATGAGTCATCATGTGGATGGTCACACTCAAAGAGCTGCGGTCAGTGGCTCCATGTCCAAGTGGAGAGCAGTGACAAGTGGTGTCCTCAGGGGTTGGTGTTGGGACTGGGGCTAACAGCTTTGACAGTGGCATGGACAGTGGGATCGAGTGCACCCTCAGCCAGTTTGCCAACAACACCGAGCTGTGTGGTGCAGTCGATAGGCTGGAGGGAAGGGATGTGCCATCCAAAGGGACCCGGACAGACTGGAGAGGGGGGACGTGCAAACCTCATGGAGTTCAACAAGGCCAAGGGCAAGGTCCTGCACATGGGTCGAGGCAATCCCCAGCACAAATACAGGCTGAGTGAGGAGTGGATTGAGAGCAGCCCCAAGGAGAAGGACTTGGGGGTATTGGTGGATGACAAACTGATTGTGAGCCAGAAATGGGTGCCTGCAGCCCAGAAAGCCAACCGTGTCCTGGGCTGCACCGAGAGAAGTGTGGCCAGCAGGTCGAGGGAGGGGATTCTCCTCCTCTACTCCACTCTCATGACAACCTACCTGCAGTGCTGTGTCCAGCTCTGAGCCCTCAAGGTAAGAAGGACATGGACCTGTTGGAGCGGGGCCAGAGGAGGCCACGGAGATGCTGGGGGGGCTGGAGCCCCCCCTGTGAGGACAGGCTGGGAGAGTTGGGGGGTTCAGTTGGAGAAGAGAAGGCTCCGGGGAGACCTTAGAGCGGCCCCCCAGGGCTGAAAGGGGCTGCGGGAAACGGGGGAGGGACTCGTCATCAGGGGGGAGGGATAGGACAAGGAGCAATGGAATGGATTTAAAGAGAAAGAGGGTAGATTTAGACTAGTTATAAGGAAGAAATTCTTCCCTGTGAGGGGGATGAGGCCCTGGCACAGGTTGCCCAGAGAAGCTGTGGCTGCCCCCTCCCTGGCAGGGTTCAAGGCCAGGATTCTACTGGGAGCGCAGGCAGCAGGTTGCATGGTAACATCTACAGATTGATCCAGTTGCCTAAGATGGGTATCTGCCATTATCTGAGACACCCAGGGGTGTCAGAGACCTCTACGTAGGGCTGGAAGCTACAACACAGCACCTATGAGAGGCCTGTCCTCCTCTGCCCTGAGAGCCAGAAGCTAAGCCCATGATTTGTTTGTGCCCAGCCTGCAGAATTACCCCTACGAGTAAACATCTACTATAAGATGCCCCAACAAGTGAGCGAGATCCCAGCTCTGCAATTCACGGAGACTTGCAGAATCTTTCCCTCAGCCCTTTAAATGCATGGCTGCAGAAACCTGATTAAAACATTTCCTGCCACCCTAAGACAAAATAATTCCTTAAATTTGAATTTAAATAGGGTTTTTTGGGTTGAAATGACAAATAAAAAACAGTAATAGGTGGGGATCTTATGCACAAGTGGCCAAAAATGGCCTGTGTCTTAGACAATTTAGACCGTAGATATAAAATGAGGTTGAGGGGTGCAAGGAGGCAGTGTAAGAGCACAGGTTTGCCTCTCAGTCACAGCCTTAATGTGCAGCTACCTACACATTTTCTAGATTTGTTTTTACTTTTTTTTAAATAGGAATAACAGCATGGCATGGCAAATATGTGCCCATTTGGGGAGTATAAAGGCATGTGAGCAAAGACTTCAGGACTTCACCAAGCAACAGCTCCTCCAGGCATTTCCAGGTCTCTAATTCTCTATTTTCTCCTCCAGTCTTGCTGCAGAAGGAATTCAGGGAAGTTATTCCCTAAATAGATTTCATTTTTAGAGCTGTGTCACTCATAACCATATCAAGTACGACCCTTTCTGT